ATATTTAATTTAAATTTAATTAACTGACTTGCCCTACTCTAACCACTTCTAACCGGACTCGAACCTGCCATCGCAGAACCGGTAGCAGAGTTATTGAAGACGGTAATTACCTCTCCGTGAATATCGTTAATTACACTGGTTTACAGCAAAAATGTTCTCTTGATGCCCTCTATCCAATTCTTCGGTGATTCCGAAAATCGAGATAATTGTTTTGCTATAGATAACTTTTCGAGATATTTGCAATTTACAGTTATTCAGCTTAAAAATTGTCATTTCACTTAATCACGTATATCTTACGAACCAATTGAACAATCGTAATATGGGATACGGGAAATGGAATCAAATTATATTCTCCATAAGACGTAAATACATAACTTTTCGATAGCCCTGTTAGTTTCTGAGAAATTAATTAATGATTTCTGACGCCTCTTGTTTTCGATGCCTACACTCTACCTACTTAGGTGTACATGGCGTATGAGTAACACTCTTTTCTGCTCATATTTCATACAAAAAATCCTTGCGCATTTTCATTGGACCAATCATTATTTCTTATTTATTCATCGATTTTCTTCATTGGTAGCTCAGTTTCTTATTCTAAAGGAACAGGCTTTAACACAAGTGCAAAATATTTACACAGAAACTGTTATTTTTTGACTTTTTTCCCCGTTAAGGTTTGAATTTTTTCCATTTTCCAACAAAAAAAAACAAAAAATCTGGAATGATTAATTAATTTCTGAGAAACTATCAGGGCTATCGAAAATTTATGTAAATACAGTTTATAGAGAATTTTATTTTCTTTGACACTAGATAAACGGTTCAACTAATAGCCACATCTCGCAACGGTTGCCAATAAAGCCAAAAGTATATTTTGAGCTTGTCAAAGGTTCCGCAGCAAAATTAGGAAAAATATATTTCCAAGATCGACGTACTATGCAGTATTGGTATTGTAACCAAAACCTGCGGTATAATTCTGACTGACCATCACAAGAGCCATGCGAACATTCATGTCCAACATAGGCGCTTTGAGTTGTTATCCTTTATTGTTCAGCGAAGGATCCCAACATGATGAAATCTTTGCGCCAGGAAGCTTTAAGAGCCCTGGACTTACTTGTTACCAAGGTTGGTAGACAGTTGCAAATAATTATACTAGATTGGCGCTTACACAATATTTTAGTGTTTGGCCGAGCTTCTTCTCCGATTTGGGGCGTGCGCCTTGAAGTTGTCACATAAAAGGGAGAGACCTACATTTTTACGCCGACTCCGAACGGCGGTTATATTTACATATATGAGGAAAAATTATTTCATTGTATCAAAAAATACCTTGTTTTCAATTTTCTTCCTTTATTTTTTAAAAGTTCATTAATTGCTGTTTTGGGTAAAAAATAAAAAGTTTTACTTTTGAAGATCTTCAAGGTCACATTGAATCAAATATTACCTTAACCTTTAAAATTACCATCAAAAGTAATATATTTGAGTGTTTTTATTCATTTCATCTAAAAAGAGCCCGTAATAAACTCCCAAAATAAATTCTAAAATTCGTTTTTCGGTTCTTTCGACCATAGAAATGGATTCCTTGACGCAAGAAAAGCAAAAAAATGTGTTTTAAATTTCTTACAAAAGTTAAGTGAGTACAGTTTTTCCGTCAAAAAAGGAAGAAAATTGAAAACCCCCTACCTTTGAAGGTCATTTGAAAGGTCAAGATAACCTTTTTATCCAACGAAATTATTTTGCTTGTATTTTCAATCCCAAAACTTTTCAACTGCTGTTAAATTCATTTCCCCAGCTGGTTTGTTGATTTTGTCAAGAAAAAAGTTAAATTTTCTCACTGTGTGTCCTGTGTCAAAGGGTAAAGGGTCTATGCGCCCTGAACCGCAAAGCATATGATATCTGTTTTGGTATAAATATATTGGTATATATATATTGGATCCAGAATGTGGACGTTTCATACTCTGACTATTTAAGATTTACTCACACTAAGAATAAATTAACATGTTTTTTTTCAAAGCGGGTTTTCTATGGTAAGCGGCTTTAAATTTTTGAACATAAAAATTACTTTTTTAACAAACTTAGAAAGATAAATTAGTGTGAACGATTGCACACTGGCCGAAATTGGATTTTTTTTTTTGCATAAATTCAAGATTTTTATAGCACATAATCTTGATATCAGTTATTTTTATAGAAGTACATATGTCAACTAAGAAAATTTCAAAATAACAGATTTGAAGTATTAACCCTGTGCTTTCAGAGCGCTTTCAAAGTCATGTGCATGATAAGCTGTTATTTTGTTAGAACTGGTGAAAACCATTAGCCAATTGTGAAAAGCTTGTGAAAGGTTGCGTTGATATAAATAAACAAAATTAGATATGGAAACTAACGGTCAAGGTATTTGTAATAAGAATTAGTTAATGTGCATATAGTTCGTGTGTTTGTTTGTTGTTATTTAATGTATTTGTAGTGCGTATTTACATAGAGAAAAATACTAAACAATATTTTTGTGTTTTGTGGAGAAGAACTAGCAAGCTGAGAGGTGATGACGCGAACTAATAAAAAAAAATTGTTTTTGGATTTGGTTTGAGTAATAACATTTTTTGCTCATTTTTCCAAAATTAAACATTTTAAGCGAAGTACACGTAGAAATCTATGTATCCTCCTTACATAGAATAAAGAAAATTAGGGATTTTTTCACCATCTCGAATCTCGAAAACTACCGAACGGATTTAACAAAATTTTTTTAATAGAGGTATTACCTTTAGACCTGCAAATTTCTATAGGGTTGCCATCTGTCTAGCAAAATTCTAAGAGCCGCCGGATTACTGAAAATGAGGTATCAAATGAAGGTGCTTGGCCTTTAGATGTCCTATAATGTATTATTTTTTTAGTAGGACTGCCAGCATTTTAAAAATTATAATATCTCCACACTTAGTTGGACTAAAAATGAAGTACAAAGTACGGTCCCTGGATGTACAATAAGCTTTTATTTTTTAGTGGGGTTGCTTGCGACCTTTTTAAAAATTAACTACCTTACATATACATATGCATTCTTTGTTAACGGCATCAGATTTGCACAGTTCATTCAATATTAAAAAATGGGGTGTTAAGAGGTATAGATGAGCAATATTTTTTCTTTTTGTATGGGTTTATACCAGTTTGAAAAGTCGAAACGAAAGAGGGATAAGAAAGATTTAGTTTGGATACTTACGCTTTTTTGAGGTGTTTGAAGGAGATTGGTATCAATCGAAATGCGTTTGAAAGGCTTTATTCAGAACAATATTTAGTAGGGTTGCCACATGTTTAAAAAAGCAAATTCAACTTGAATTGTGGCACTTAGGTAAGTGAAATATGTATCACAATATGGATGCCAGACTAATGGGGTTTTGAAAAGTTTTGAAAAAGGTTATCATTCAAAAGCAACTTCATAGATGGTGAGAGGTGAAGGCAAGGCGCACGCGTTATCTGATCGGCCCAAAAGTTTTACCATAACTTGCTAATAGCATGAAGAAAATATGTGCCAAATTTGAAAATGATGACTTTCTTTTTAAAAGTTATGCAAAAAAAAATTAAATTCTGGCCAGTGTGGATTGTAAGAAAATTGATATAAACTGAGCATTTACATATATAGCTGAGTGTACAGAGATGCTTGCTATTCTACGTTTGATTCCACGAGGTGCTAGATTCAATTTCCGCCTGACGCAACTTGTCGTTTATAATTTTTGTAGAACGAATATCTTGAAACACAAAATTGTAGCGTATTTCAACTAAAGAATTTCCAAAAAAAAAATCAGTTTGTAGCTACCAATAGATCGTTTTACGCCATCTTATATACATACATATGTTTTATTTTGAAACAAATATGTTGTAGTTTATTTTTTCTCAGTGTAGCTAGCCACCTAATTTAAATAGTAATAATAAAATCTTGAAAATCTACCCTACGCAAGGTGTTTCACAGGTATTTCAGAGTTTTTTTGTTAAATAAAAACCTTCCCCTTTTTGGTTCTCTGTTAACTAAAAAAGCATTTTTGCTATCAGAAACCAAAAACTTTCAACAATATTTTATAATAACTTTAATCTTAAAACAATATGACCCTTCCATTGGCACGATATTCAAGTATGAACAAGCATAAAATTTATTCAAATTAAAAACTTTCCTATGTATGCTTAGTGGCAATTTAGCGAAAATACACCACTCAACTGTTACCATGTCTATACGAATGTACTATGCATGTATGTATGTCTCGTATTCCCCATTGTGAATTACATTAAAAGCTCAAAAGCATTGTCCATTTCAAAAGTGTTCATTGATGTACTTATATTATATACATATATTCATGCATGTAAGCATGCAAGCGTGTAATAATAAAGTTACAAAATGCTGACCTCATTCGCAAGAACACTGGTGACTTGTTCCTGTGCCATGCGAGCTATTAACTATTTTATTATGTACATAATATACTTAACTACATACATGTAATTGACATTTACATTTGTATATAAAAAAGTGCTCATGTAAAATATAAAAAAAGTGTTTTAAGTACGGAAAAAATTCAAAAGCATACATATGTATGTATAGTCGAGTATAAACGCTATACTCGTAAGTACTTTACAGTTGTTACTTACTATGATACTATGAAGCAATCGAGTTGAGTAGGTGGCTACTGTTACCGTTGCGTATTGGAGCTTCTGCTTACCTCTTATATGGATCTTGGTTCCATAGCCACGGCGAAAAGTATAAACAGAAATTGGATAGGTGCTGTTGACGTCAACCTATCATGTCTAATGTTAATGCAATGCTTTTGTCAAATGTATTACAACTGGTTTCAGTCCATATTAAATGAGTCGTGTGTGTGTTTTGTCACAATCCGATTTATTGCCAGCCTAATTATTGATGTATGAATTCTAACATGCGTGACAACCCACTCTTATGTATTACTCTTATTCACACCATTTACTTATCTAAGTTCTCTAATACTTTCCCTCTTTCTCCCTATTTTCTATATTTGCAGCGAGGAGAATGTTTGGAAACTTTGTGAACAAGTGAAAAAAACACGCATCGATGAACTTTCAAAGTGTTATGCGGTATTCGTGTCGAATGAGGGGCGTACGGTGCCATTGTGGCGCCAAAAAGCAGGACGTGGCGATGATCAAGTCGTGATATGGGTAAGTAACAAATCAAACAACAATAAGTGTTATTAAGTGTAGAAGTGCGGCGAAAAGAAGCATACTAGAAGATAAAAGAGAATATGTATAAACAAAAAACTTGAGCTCTCGAATAAAGAAGCGCAACACATTCAGTTGCGGGCAAGTGGCACTTGTAAGCGCTTGTATGTAACTTTGCTGCCGTTGTGTTGCTCAACTGCTGTTGCTTCGGCATTCCTTACAGCTGCCATATTTAAACTGTTGCAGAGCTACATAGTAGTGTTGAATTGCTCTTACACTTTGCTATCTAACACGTTTTTCGCGTCTTCCATTACTTACTTTACACCCCAAATTTCAGTTCATTCGATTATGTCAGCCAGGCAGCAGGGCAGGGTGTACAGTGCGTATGAGTAACATGCTTTGCACGACCTTACATATGTATGTAGTAGTAAATATGCACATACGCGCATACGCTTCAAACAAATGGTTCTATGTTTGTGCGTGAAATAGCGTATCGGATAAGCACGTGCCTTGTCATTCTTGCTGATGCCACAGTTTATTGCGCAAAATTTTCGCAATCTTTGCTTTCGCCATTTCGGCGTACTTGAATGCACGAGCGTTCGCACTTTACTTGTACGAGTAAGTATATGCGGAAATGGCGCCTTTGAATTGAAAATTGATTGATGACAAAAAGAAGTGAATAGCTTATTTGGATTCACTTGATATCAGTAGTGCACTCACTCAAGAAAGTACAGACAAGTTTTAGTGGTTTTTGCAATAACTTTTTTTTTGGAAATTTGTACTTCTACAGCTGCACAAATTCATCTACCAATTACTTGTATTTTTGAGACCTGACAACTGAGAGATCGAAGGGCATGATTTAAAAAAAAAAAATATGTTATGTGGCCAAAAATCGGAATATTTCTAAGGCATCAAATTCGAACATACAATTTTAGAATAAAAATGCTTAATACAGTTACATATATCTAAAACAAAACAAAGAGAAAAAAATTTAAAACTGTTTATTAATTTTTTATGAAGATATAGGTTAATATTAAAAAAACATGTAAATAAAAATTTCAAAATTTGTAGAACATTTATAAAAATTCGAAGAATTCTAATAAATGTTCATCACAATTTGAAACATGTTAATAAGAATTTCCAGAATTGTTTTTAGTGCGCAGGTTTGTAACCCGTTGAATTTTAGTATAATAAAGTGGAAGTTGGAAGAAACTTGGCAATTTTTTGTCCGCTCATTTTCTTCCATATACAGTATGTTCAAATATTTTTTTTGTATGGAGAAAATTAGCAGCACCTTTTACACAATTTAATAAATCTGTGGTCAGAAGCAATAACCGCCTAAGTCAACTTAAGAAAGAATTGAGTTATATATGCTATCGTATTCTGCAACTACTAATCAACGGTAAGTCCTAGCTACTTAAAATTTGCACTTTGAATTGAACGGGTTACAAAACTGCATACTCAGAATGTTTCTAATTAAAAAGCAGAAAATTTGGATGGAACTTTGTCGAATTTTGATAATTTTTGTACAAAGTTTGAAATGAAAATGTCTCTTCCTTATTTATATTTTCGCCACTCTATCTACAGCTTTTCATATCCACGATTTTTTTGAGGGTATTAGTAGTATTCTTTATAATTTTTTTTTGAATTATATTATTAATATGGATGCTGGCTATGGTTATGGTTAACGAAAGTGCTGAATCGTTTGTACGAAAAATTGTTTTTGGGCCAGAGTACAGGGAGAGTCTTAATAAATGAATAAAGAAACAACTGAAAAACAGTACTTAATATGAAAAATTGGGACCCTTGTATGCCCCGATTATTAAAAAATATTCAGTGGGACGATTTTCTCAAAATCGGCATTGTCCCGCCAAATTCGATACGAATGGTCACCGTAGAATAATTTAAAGTTTCTAAAGCTAGGTTAAGAGAGTGTAGATATACATACATACATATCTACTAAAACACATATACATACGTACACATATCCTATGTCATGCTCGCTCTGTTGTGCTCTACGGGGAAATAATTTGCATTGCTAAATAAATTCTCGAACTAAATACATTGTATCAAAAAGCGTAAGTATTTAGCACACACCACAAAGGGCTTAATTTTGTCTGCCATTTATTACAAAAATCAGTATTATGGCCAATATTATAGCTTTGCTTAAGAGCTTTTTTGGAATTTAGATTGTATACCTTTTAAAAAGATTACAAAATTTATACTCTAATATTTAATTAAAACCTTAATAACAACTAGGACTGAACTAGGACTAGTTTAGTGGATTTTAACAAACGTTTTCATAATAAATATACGTGAATTCCTAAAGTCTTCATAAATGAGAATTCCATGTAATAACAAATTTAAATTTAATCAAAGTAATTTTTAAGAGTAGTTTCTAATGCAATTAGATTAGTGGTGAAAAGGTAAACAAAAAACAACACAAATCAACAAAAAACCTAATAAATATTAATTTGCGCTGACGATTTGCAGAAATAAGAACACTGTAAGCCTCATACTATGAAATGGAATTGTGGGAGGCCGGAAAAACGAAAAAAAAACATAGACTCGTTTATGCATTTTATCAGTTTGTTGACGGAAAGAATGTGTCTCGTCCATTATCAGTACAACGGACCCAAAAATGTACCATCTCGTCACACGTGCTCGTCGATGATGCCTATGGTGACCATCTAACATCCCTATGGATTAAGTCCCAATAAGGACTCGTAGATCACTCCTTCCTTTTCTGAGAAGAAATTTTGTTACCACCCTGTCAGACCTTTATAGGAAATATTTGGTTATTTTTCAGGTGTCTATAGCACACCAACGGCTCTCATTACTTTTGTTTAAGAGATCCTTGATGTACCCGATGGTTCCCTCTATGCTTGGCCCTAAAATTGGCTCCGGTCCAATTCGACACTCCAGAGAACCGGAGTTCGCCAATTCATCACCCTACAAGACATTGCTGAGCACTTTAGGCAAAAATTCTCACACATTTACACTTTTGTTTTTGTAGTACGGCATAAATGAGTAGTTTGACTATTAGTACTGAGGACTTTTTGATAACAACATTGAGGGGAAAGTACTCAATTTTTTCCCATGGCCTGAACGAAAATGAGGACTTTGATAAGCACTTTTGTGATTAGGGGTAATGATAATATGAGTACTCATATGATACTCAGCTGTCTTGTAGGGCAGCCAGTTTGTTACTTTGAAGACCGCACTGTGCTGGCACCCACACAAGTTCAAGCTCGTTTCACCTTGTAACGGAGTTCAGTCCCACCTTACATTCCTGAAATATCTTTGAAGAGGTGCGAGGGGTATACAAGGCAGCTTGGCTGTCACTGCAGATCTTGATTTTATGTCCGCATCACCTTTCACAAATTATCCATTCTGCCACTTCTAGTATTGCCAATACTTCCTATTAAAAGGGCGTTGCCAAGGCACCCAAAGCAATAAAGCATCTGAAGTTACCGCCCAGATGCTATCTAGCAACCAGTACTGTTTTCACTCTTTCAGCCGTCGGTATACAAAGTTTTCCATTGCTCCCTTGTGGGAAATCTAACGACGCACTTTCTTCCAAAAGACACTCTAGATATCAGTTCGTCATTAAATGCCAAAAACAAAGGATAATGCTCTGACAACCTTCAATTCAACAAAGTATTACAAGCCGGTCCTGACATTGTCCTCATGGTGCCCGTGATGCCTATACACACGCTCCTTTGTAGCCGTGGTTTTGACAATGGTTCTGCATCACCATACTACAGCGCAGTTCGTGACGATTGGCCCGACTAAAGCTGTGAATGTCCAGAATACCATAGCCGGTCTTATACCGCAGGTCTTCCTAAAGGTTCTTCGACACTTCCATGTCAGCTTCGAATCTAGAGTTACCCCTTGAAATTTTACATCCGCGGACAGATTTATATTTACGTCTCTAATGACTAGAAAGTTGAGACCTTCCAATTTTCTTTTCCGCGTAAACAAGTCTGGGATTGACAGCAAGATCCTGCAAATTGCACTATTCATCAATCTTATTCAGGATTCTCTGTGTCACAAATCAAACCTCCCTGAGAGATTTACCCGATGACAGTGCACAAACATCGTCCGCGTAAGCTTGGATGTGAACGAAGTCTTGCATTTCCGTTAGCAGGGAGGACATCCTCTCCGAACGTCTGCCATGGTACAAAAGCTGGCGTCATCCCCCAGGGTCAGAAATCTTCTAGATAACATTACGGTTTCGTCCATTCCATGTCTTCGGTCCGAAGAGCACCTAGAGCCAAAGGTAGCGTTGTCAAACACACTCTAAATATCAGCAAAGACTTCTATTGTGGACCCACCTATTTCCAGTCCCATCACAATCTGTTTTACAAGGTCATGCAGAGCTGATTCACATGACTTTCCGCTTTGGTATGCATGTAGATGAATACTAAAGGGGTTGTTCACCAAAACCCTTGGTCTGATGTACTTTTCGACCGTGCGCTCGAGACTTTTCTGTATTAATAATGGCAGGCTGATGGTCCTGAAGCTTTTTGCCAGCGCATAGTCATCCTTTCCTGGTTTAGGAACGAATACTACCCTGACTTTTCTCCAAAGAGTGGGAACGTGGCCAAATGCCAGACGGGCCCTGAAAACTCTTATTAGAGCCTCTATAAGCCTGTCTCCCCCACCTATACCATAGTATGATAACCAGTGCATTGTTCTAGGACAGGTTTTAAAACGAAGTTGCTTCCATGGACTTTCATCTATATATATAAAATAATAGCCGTTTTCGTTGTTCGGAGTTAACTCAAAAACTACTGCATAGATTTCAGAGGTTATACCTTGCATATATCGTCCTATTATAGGATATCTGAAAACTCGCTAGATGCTGCTGGGGTCGAGTTATTTATAAAAGTCGTATTTATGAACCGATTTCGTTAAAATTTAAAACGTGTACTAGCTCCATGATGTGAAGTACGTATGCGAAAAATAGACCCGCTAGGTGGCGCAGGAGTCGAGTT